AGAGATGGAGATGGGATAGGCAATGGGGTTTAATCATGAACTGAAATGGCTCCCCCCTTTCCCCCCAAATATGAGGCTGAGATCAGACACACTAAATAATCCGCTATCAATCCACGTTCAATGCACTTTCATACTGGATTTTACTGCGGCTGCGATCACACACACTAAATAATCCACTTTCAATCAATTTTCAATGCACTTTACAACTGGATTTTACTGTGTGAACTGGCAAAATCCAGTTTGAAAGTGCATTGAAAGTTGATTATTTAGTGTGTGTGATCGCAGCCTGTGTGAACTGGCAAAATCCAGTTTGAAAGTGCATTGAAAGTTGATTATTTAGTGTGTGTGATCACAGCCTGAGGATTCAGTAGGATCTGAACATTGTCTGTGACATGATTCTAATAGACGTTCTCCTCAAACACACCCACACAGAGAAAGAGAGAGACAGAGATGTAGGCTGATTTCGCACTAGAGCTGTCTCGATGTTGCGCCGCCATTTGCCCGAATACTATTGGTCCATTTCACACCCGAAGCCGCGGGGCTGCATTTGACCCACGGTTTCGCCTGATTTCCTCCACAGTTTCGTGATCCTCAAAAGACAGGATCACGAAACTGTGGGGGAAGTCGGGCGAAGCCGCGAGTCAAAATGCAGCCCCGCAGCTTCGGATGTGAAATTGACCAATAGTGTCGGTGCAAACGGCGGCGCAACATCGAGGGAGCTCTAGTGCGAAATCAGCCGTAGTTTTCATTATTCCATGAGAGGAGGGAATGGCTAACTAACCAGTTTTAATTCTCTGAAAGTATCTGAAAGCTGTTCCTCACCTGCAAGCCACGGGGCATTGCTTTAGCTATGTCTCCTATCATGGCCAAAGTGAGTTCATAGAATTAAGCAGCAGAGCTCTCAGCAGACAAAAAAGAAAAAAGCTGCTGCTACTGCTGCTGATGGAGTACTTGAAAGATCACCCACTGCTGGACCTCCTGATGGCACCTGGTATTTTTGGCCACTGTGTGACAGTGTTGGAGTAGATGGGCCATTGGCCTGATCCAACATTGGCTTCTCTTATGTTCTTATGATAAATGCTTTGGAATTCTGGGGTAAACTCCCACTAAGGAGAGTTAAGAACCTGACATCCTCTGTCCTTGTGAATGTTTTAGCTAGAACTGAGCCAGACAATGTAGCACATGTATACCCCTGAATATCTAAAGGCATCACAGAACTGTTAGTGTTCAATCCATAGTGGTTGAATACCATTTGTCCCTCAGTGTGTCTACTGTATAATAGCAGGTGCAGGTAACCCATTTAGGGATGCCATTCCCCAGTTTTAGGTAGGGGATCTCCCAGTTTGTCAGGCTCCTGCCCACTGCCAGCCAGCTGGCCGGTGGGGGGAAATCTCACCCCCCAACATGACATGCTGACATCAAGTGAAAGTGATGTCATCGTGATGGCAACATTGCATGGCAACGCTTTGGTTTTGGGGCAAAACTCTATGGTTTGAGGGCAATTTTACCATAAAGTTTTGCCTAAAAACCAGAGCATCACCATGCAACATCACTAGCATGATAATGTCATTTCTGCGTGATGTAAGGATGTCGCAATGCTCCACCCCACTCCCAGAAAGTCCCTCCCGCTCCCCCACCAGTGCAATAATTGGACCTGGCAACTCTTAACCCACTGGACCTCATTTGTGATATTCCCATATTAAGGCATTTCTACGACAGACAAAGAATTACCTAATTTTTACAGAGTGTCTTTGGAAGACATTGCATCACATCCCTACGGCTGTCCCATATCACATAATTCTTTAACTGAAAGACGTGATTTCGAAACCACTTGATGAGATCACTACACATTTCTTTCAGCTTTGTTAATAAAACAAAGAAAGTCTGGGGATGAACGTGGGATAACTTTTTTTTGCTTGCATGGATTACAGAAGGGATTTTCAAAATATTTAAGCAATGACCTCACTGAAGCATTTCCTCCACACAGCAGAGTAACATTTTGAGTCTTATTCAAGAATATCTGCAATGTTTCTGTTCTCACTATAGCATGATGGGCTAGATTGTGAGCTGAGAAGACTCCTGTTCAAATCTTGCCACAGCCATGAAGTCTCTGGGTAGCCTTAGGCAAGCTATTTATTTATTTGTTTGTTTGTTTATCAGATTTATACCCCTCCCTCCTCGCAAAGCAGGCTCAGGGCGGCTTCCATACAAACATAAATACAGTTAAAATCATACAGTTATTTAAAATACGACAGATAAAATACAAACAAAAGGTGCTGGCAACACCTTTTGGCAACAGTTAAAAGATTAACGTAGATGGCTCATTTTCAAGATGAATTACCCCTTCCCAGATCTTCTCAGACTTTCTTCTGCTCAGAATTTCTTATGGCATCGGCTTGATGTTAAAGCCACGGGCCAGGGCTTGATGATAAAACCACGAACCAGGGTTCTACGACAGCGACGGCCCCTAATAAAATGCCTGGCAGAAGAGCTCCATCTTGCAGGCCCTGCGGAACTGTGAAAGGTCCCACAGGGCCCTGATCTCCTCCGGGAGCTCGTTCCACCAGGTAGGGGCCACCACTGAAAAGGCCCCGGCCCTGGTAGTAGCTAGCCTCTCTCTCTCTCTCAGCCCCTCTCTTCTGCAATGTGGAAACAATACTCTTCTGTCTCATAGGGTTGACAGACACAGCTTGACAACCAGCAGAAGACCAGGAGGTTGACAGCATGATGTAAAACCATACTTTTCTAGTGATTCCTAGAGAGGACTGACATTACATCTGGTTTTCACCCAGAACTGATGTCATGCCATCACTGACAGCAATTTTTTTTAAAGATTAATTTTCTCCCATCAGCTGCACCAGCGGTATGGAGAAACAGGTTATAAGGATTACCAAGATAAATGCATGTGAAGCATTTTGAACACTTCTCTTGCCTGCATGGCCTTGGCACTTTTGTAGAACCTGATATTCTGTTTCTGTTTCTTGGGTATACTGGAACATGACAAAGAGATGAGCAACACTTAAGTTATTTTGAGTTCATCTGGGGGGATATTTTACTCCACCAAAGAATTTTGATCAGTGGATTATACTATCAAGTGATTACCCATCAGCATTTGAAAGAGATTGTTTAAGTATGATTGAGCCTGGAGGAAATTAGGTACATGCAAGACCCAAAGTTCTAATATTCTTTAGTTTCCTTCAGTTGCTTTGAAAGTCAATGCAATTTAACAGATTTTTTAAAAAAAGATGAATGATGATATGCCCTACTTTAACAAATGAATATAGGCCCTGTTCACACGCAGAATTTGCCACAGGAGAGCCACGAATGCTGGGCGGATTATAAGGGCACGATCACACGGAAACAACTAGTAAGCGTCATGCACCAGTTGCCAACCCGTATTGTCCGGCTGAAGATGCAGAGTTAAAAAGTACCTGGGAAAGTCCACTATGAAACGGTTCGCAATGGGCCGCAGACGGACGTATGTGATCGCTCCAGCGTGCGCCTCTCGTGTTCCTGCTTCCTCGTTGAAGCGCGCCGGAAACATGTGCTGACAGAAACAACACTTGTTCACTGCCGTCAAATAGCCTCGCCTCCCCCCCCACACACGTTATCTGGCATGTGTGACGGGAGCCATAGTGACTTATTTGGAGAAAGTAAAGTTCAATGCAAAGGGGATTTGTTTATATGACCAGCTTGGTTTTGTGGAACTGAAATGAGCTAATTGCAAAGAAATTACTACTTTATCAACTTTGGCTAATTTTTTGTCTCTTTCTTAACTCGTAAGTATTAATCCAGTTACCATCTTAAGTAAGAATGGAATTGTTTTAAAATTCACTGCAACTATTCAGCATGTCTGATTATGAATTAATATGGTCCAGAATTTCCAGAAGTACTGTTAAAACATAACACTTGGGCCATGAAATACCATAAAATAAAAAGCCTTTTGACCAAAGACCAAAGAACAGAAAACAATGAACATCTATACCTACCCAGACACTGTTCCACCAGGTGATAAAAGCTGCATTTGATTATTGACCTTGGTTAGCCTAGATGCAGATAGGAACTAGTTCAATGGCATTAGTATGTAAGGGTGGGCACAAACCAAAATTCAGCACGAACTTGGCCTGGTTTGGAGCCCTCAAACTGATGTTTGGAGAAGGCGCCTTCCCCAAACATTTACCGGACTTTTGTCTGGTTCAGTTCAGCAGCACGGGTCCACAGTTCACATGTTAGGTTTAAATGGCTGCAAGCCATTTCAGCGGGGGGGAGCGAAATGGACTGCTGAAATAGCTGCTAGCCATTTAACCCTTCCTGGGCAATCCCCCCTTTCTCCTGGCTGCAGCTTGCCACAGCCAGGAGAAAGGGGGACCTGAACTGGCTGGTTTGGGACATTTTTTACTTGCTTCAGGGCTTGGTTCAGGAACCACCCCAAACCGAACCAGGATCTTTAGGTTCGTGCCAATCCCTAGTAGTATGTTCAAATACTTATAGAAGGTGGTATGGATTAACAAAGGCTCATAATTAGGACACATAGGACGTATATGGATGACTAAGTATTTTTGCTGTTTGAGATATATCTATTTATAAAGGCACTATTATCTCCTATGCATATTCAGCTTCAGATCAACCACACTGGCTGTTCCAAATAGGGCTGCCAGACTCCAGGTGGGGTCTGGAGATCTCCTGTGATTACAACTGATCTCCAGAGTGATCTCTGTATAGTTCCTCTGGAGAAAATGGCTGCTTTGGAGAGGGGACTCTCTGGGATCCCATTCATCCCTGGGCTCTACCCCCACATTCTCTTGGAATGTCCCAACCTGGAGTTGGCAACATAGCATGTTACGTAACAAGAACAAAGCCTAAATAAGACTTTTCCAGTACTCTGAGGCCATAAAACTATTCTTCAGTACCTCCTTAATATTATTTCATCCTTAGTGTGTATTTCTTTTGAATCCCTCCTCTGACACACTTTCTTCATGTTCTGTTTCAATTCCTCCTAGACCAAATATAAAGAGATACCCTTGGAAGAATAGCCAGGAATCCAGAATGATGGAGGAAGAAACGCAAAGACTCAGGCCCAGCATTCTGGATTTTTTGAACAAGTATTGTATCATTAAGTAAGTCTCTCCCACTATAGCTTATATAAATAGATGTTTGTGCTGATCACATTTGCTCACTGGGAAAGAATGTGAATCACAGTCCAAGAATGAAACACCCAGGAAGCCTACTTGAATAATATTAAAAACTACATACATCATAGATTTTTTCCCTCTTTCACGTACTACAAAATTATGTCCTGGTTTATACACAAATATGTTTGAAGGGGAAGGTACTGTCCTTGGAAAATATGTGCTGAAACAGTCTTTTCCTATGGTTGCCAACTCTGTCTTGGGAATTCCTACAATTTCGGGAAGGTAGAGTTTGAAGAGGGGAGGGAGCTTTGTGGGGATTTGATGCCATATAGCCTGTGCTATGAAGCTGCCATTTCCTCCAGGGAAACTGATTTCGGTCAGCAGAACCCCAGGCCCCACCTAGAGATTAGCAACCCTATCTTTTCCTTCTCAGTAACCTTTGAAGAAGTGATCCTAACTAGAAAACACACAGCATTTAAAGGTAATATATGAGGTACAAAGCTGGCAAAGGAAAATCCAACCATTTCCCAAAATCTGTATAGCCAGGAGCCCCCACCCTCTCTCCTTGTTTCCTCCTTCCTCGTTGTTGTTGTTGTTGTTGTTATTTTCTAGACTGCCCTCCCCTGTAAAACAGGGCTCATGGTGGCGTACATCGATAAAAACAACATTAATACATTAGAGATACAATAATTAATCTAATTAAATGGCGCTAAAACTTTCAGTTACGCCATTGCCTCACCGGGGGGGGGGGAGAAGAGGACCACATGAGAGCCGCTGTGCCAGCCAGATGGAAACTGTCACTGTCCTCAACCAAATACCTGGCAGAACATCTCTCCCTTACAGGCCCTGCAGAACTGCATTAAGTCCCACAGGGCATGATCGTTACTCGGCAGAGAGTTCCACCAGGTTGGGGCCAGGGCAGAAAAAGCCCTGGCTCTGGTTGAGGACAGCCAGATGGGGAACCACCAGTAAGTTCCTCGCTGAGTGCAATGCTCTTTGGCGGGTATACCAGGAGAGGCAGTCCCAAAGATACATGGGTCCCGGACTGTGAAGAGTCTAGGATTCCCATTCCCCCAATGGGGGTGGGGGGGTGCCTGCTTTTGCGGCCCCTGATCTGCTGGCCCCAATCTGGCCAGTGAGGGGAACCTTGCCCCCAAAGTGCCTTGTTTGCCCCAATGTGCTTGGTGCAATGATGTCACCTGGAGGAGACGTCATCGTGATGGCACATTGCAGGGAGGACGCTCGATTGTTTAAGGAAAAACCATAGAGTTTTTCCTTAAATGATAGAGCATCCCCCACAACATGCCCTGCATGATGATGTCACTTCCGGGTGATGTCGTTGTGGCGTGCACACAAAGCGCGCCGAAGAGATCCCAAACCAAGGGAGAAACCTCCCCTGCCAGCAGCCAGGTAAGACCTGGCAGCCCTAGAAGGGTCCCAGGGATTGCCATTTTAAATACGGCCTAACAGCCAGAGATTCTACTACTACAGCTTTCCCATCAGTGCAGTTTGCTACTGGGAAAGGCTGCCTCCATTGAATTTTACAGGCATTAACAGCACAGAGCCCCTGTCTGGAAAAAGGAAGGGGGCTATACCTTGCAACTGTGTATTATAGTGCAGCTGGAAAATATTACTTTGATAGTTGATATTGATAGCTTTGATAAATTTTGGTTAAAGATATCTGGTTATTTCTTAGTCTCACAATTCATAAATAGCCATCCTACTTATGAATGCTCAGGGCAATATTCAGAAGATTCAATACATTTAAAGTTTCAAAAAAAACCTTAAAGTATACAAAATGCCATCAACAATAACAGCAGCTTGAGAGACACAACATCTCAAAAGGCCTGGTGGCAGAGGTCATATCAGAGCAACCTCAGTAATGTCGACATAATAATTACTGACCTTACCTTTCCTACCTAAACAGAGCCATGTGTATTCTTTGCAAATAAATGGACCAGCATTGGTAAAGTGGCAAAAGAGAGACATTTAAAAAAAAATTAAACCAGTGCAACAGTAGACAAGAATCCTTAGGCTAGGATATAGTACTCGCATGTGATCAGACTACATCAAAGTTGCAGGCCTACTCCCCAAACGGGTACACGCCCTTTGTGCTTGAGCACGACAGACTTTGATCTCCATTACACTTCAAACCACAGGCAGGTTCCAATTTCCCTTTCTTCACATTTTAAACATCTCTGCCCCAGTGTCAGCAGGTTCTCATACTCCCTTGCACCTGGGCAGAGTACAGGCCAAAAAGACAGGGGGAACCAGCCAAAAGAAAAAGGAGTGTTCTTAGGTTGCCCGCTTCTTTCACTTCTTTGCTCTGGGATAAGAAAATAGACCCTGAAGGAAAAGGCTGGGTAAAATAATAGTGTCTAGGAATACTACTTACCCCTGCATTATTTCACTGTAACCTCAGCAGTTCTTGAAGATTATTCAAATACAGATGTTAAAACACAGACACTCACAGCATTGGGGGGGTTGGCATTTTTGCATTTGTGTCTGTGAGTGTGTCTGTGCCTGAGCCTGGAAGTCATGGAGACCTCTGGCAACTCCTACTGGGGCATGGAGGACATTCAGAAAAGTGGCTTGTTGGCCTGCCTCTGCCTCCTGGTCCTGGTATTCTTTGGAGAGCTCCCATCTAAATACATGCCTATAAGAATTCCAGTTACATTTACAGGTACAGTTTTGGATAGTTCTATAAGAAGAGCCCTCTCTCATGGATCACTGCCTTGACACGGCGAGGGGGCTTGCATGGTTTGATGAGGCTGTGACCTATGCTGTGGAGGGCCAACCAGGATGGACAGGCCACAGCAGAGAACTCAGACAAAATGTGATCCACTGGAGAAGGAAATGCCAACCCACTCCAGTATCTTTGCCAAGAAAACCCCATGGACAGTAACAAAAGGCTAAAAGATATGACACCAGAAGATGAGCCCCTCAGGTCGGAAGGTGTCCAATATGCTACTGAGGAAGAGCAGAGGGCAAGTACAAATAACCACAGAAAAAGTGAAGCGGCTGGGCCAAAGCCAAAAGGACGCTCAGCTGTGAATTTGTCTGATGGTGAAAGGAAAGTCCGATGCTGCAAAGAACAATACTGCATAGGAACATGGAATGTAAGATCTATGAATCAAGGTAAGCTTGATCCTAAAAGGAATCAACCCTGACTGTTCCCTGGAAGGCCAGATACTGAAGCTGAAGCTCAAATACTTTGGCCACCAAATGAGAAGAGAGCACTCACTGGAGAAGACCCTGATGCTGGGAAAGATTGAAGGTCAAAGAAGAAGGGGAGGGCAAAGGATGAGATGGTTAGACAGTGCTACCGATGCAGTGAACATGAAATTAAGCAAACTCCCGAGAACAACGGAAGACAAGAGGGCTTGGCGTGATGTGGTCCATGGGGTCGGGAAGAGTCGGACTCGACTGTATGACTGAACAGCAACAAAATAAGAAGAGCCTTGCTGGATCAGACCATAGGTCAGCATCCTGTTTCCCACAATGGTCAAACAGATGACAGATACATCACAGACAGACTGCAGTCAGGATTTGCCTTTTGCACACCACTTTTGGCAAGGAGTGGACCTTTGAGGCTCCCCCCCTTTGGACTGCCTCAAGAAACTTTCATTCATTCATACAGGTGCAGCATCTGATGTTTCGTCTGCCAGTGGTTCATAGCTAGGGTTGCCAAGTCAATTTTTCTTACCGACGGGGGAGCCTCGCTGGGCTCCAGGAGCCGTCTATCGATGTGCGCGCGCCGCCAGCATGTCAACGGAAGTGATGTGCGACGTTGATCATGTTGGGGGCATGGCCCCGATCGTCGGAGGGAAAACCATAGAGTTTTCCTTCTGACGATCGGGGCCACACCCCCAACGTGATTGACGTGGTTGCGTCATCTCTGGTGACGCAGCCATGCTGCGCTTCGGGGGCGGAGTTCCCCCCGGGGCCCGATTCCGTGGCGGCAGGAATCGGGCCTCCAAAGCGGGGGTTTACCCGCCCTCCTGCCCCCACTTGGCAGCCCTATTCATAGCTGAATGTATGAATTAGTAGAAAAGAGCAGTCCAGTAGCACCTTAAAGATTAACAAAACTTGTGGCAGGGTCTGAGCTTCTGTGAGACACTGCTTACTTCTTCAGATTCCAATTAGTGTTTAGTGATGATGGAGGAAACACTAAAAAGGTGTCTGTGGTGTTTTGTGACTTATTCCTTGAATTTAAATATCTCTTCTTAATGTTTATTCTCTCTCTTTTTTTCAAAGACCAGAACGTTTATCAATTTATGAGAGAGTTTTTCTAAAGTACTGCAGTAATGAGGTAAGAGATCTGGAAAGGAAAAAAAAATTACTATCTAATTTGGGTTCTGCAAAAATTAAAATTCAGCTTTCAGCCTATAATCTTCAAAGTTTGGCAGATTCCTATTGCTTACCCATTTCAGAGGACTAAAGATAAATGAGTATAATAATAAAATGTTCAGGTATACACTAAATATTCCCCACAAGAGTGCTAGAAATACCATAAATCACAATGTAATTAATTCCTTTAAATTAGCTCACAGTGTTTTTAAAAATCTTTCATCTGTTGTCTTTTAAATGTATTGAGTCTCTCAGTTGAATAAGCAATGTGCTTTCATCGTACACACAATTCCTGAATCGACTTTATAAAACTACAGTCTAGAAGCCCATGAGAAATCACGGGAGGGGAGAGTGATTTGAAAATTACACACAGCTCTCAAAACAGCGCATTTCAGTACTCTCTAAATAGGCAAATTTTCTCTTCTGCCTTTTCCCCCTTTTAATTGATTTCTAACTGCTCTTTACATTCTTTGCATATTCAGTCCTCATCGGGCCATTATTTGGGGTTTTAGTCCATTCTTCCACATGGGGTGTTTCCCCCCATCACCACTTCATGGAGCATAGGCAGACCCCAAATCTAAGAATGTCCAGAATGGCATCCTGCTCATTCTGAGTACAATCCTTGGCAGTTTTAGGGCTTTCCCTTCTAATCCACACAATAACAAAACCGTTTAAAGGGAGATTCCCTTGACATTCTCAGCCACAATGAGGAGGGGGTAGAGATAAACTCTGGTGCAAAATGGCGAAGGTCAGTTTGCTGCTGTGCTCCAATCTCATCTTATCCTTTTTAGCAGGGCTATTTTTGGGCAGGAACGCACAGGAACGGAGTCCCGAGTTGGCCACACCCAGCAGGAACTCATTAGCATAATAGGCCACACCCAACAGCAGAAACTCATTAGGACTGGCTACATTAGGGGTGGGTGGCCTAACACGCAAAGGAGTTCCTGCTATAAAAAAGCCCTGGGTTTTGACAACAAACAAGATAAACAGAATAAGAAGCAAAAGATGAGTGTGTCTGGATGACCACACCTCTGCGAACATGGGGTGTGTGGCCTAATATGCTAATGAACTGTGCTGTCAGGGGTGTGTCCTAATAAGCAAATAAATTTCTGCTGTTGGGTGTGACCTATTATGCTAATGAGTTCCTACTGGGCTTTTTCTACAAAAAAAGCCCTGCTTTTTAGCCTTTTAAAGGACTCTTTTCCATTTCCTTGCTGAGCTGCATTGTAGGTGCCATTCCTTCCTGTTCCTCCTATGCTTGCTGATGCTGTGCCAGGGGCATATTTTAATGCCATCATCTGGAAGCAGCCTTACAGAGTCATATCTTTCAGCATACTTGGGCGATCCCCTGAGTAGACCCCTAATTTATCCATGGGTTGCCCAGTTGTGTTGTTTTGTGGCCCCTGCCTGGTAGAACATGCTCCTGCTTGAGATCAGGGCCCTGTGGGACCTATTACAGAGCCACAGGGTCTGTAAAGTGGAGCTGTTCCACCAGACCTTTGGTTGAGGTGGTGGACACCCAATCATCTGGCTTCCCTTGCTGAAACTGCCCTATTACATCTGCCCCCATAAGCGAGACAATAAATGTATTATTATATGATAACAAGCAGGGACCCACAAGACTCATGGAGACAATCTCATCCTTTTGTCCACCACCACCCCGGACTGCCCATTTGTTCCCCCCTTGCCACCCTCCCTGCCTCCCTCGCAAATGTGGTAGCGGCAACTGTAGCTCTCCTCTCCTACCTACCCCTCAGTCACTCAAAAGTTCCATTCCCTCTCCCTTTCCCACCTTCCTGCCTGGTTCATGTGAGGGGAGGGGGGAATCTTTGGTAGCTTCTGCCCTTCTTCTCTGCCTGTGTTATACAGTAGAGGTCCTGGATAGGTATGGGCACAAACTGCATTTTTGCAGTTCGGTTCAGTTTGTGGTTCGTGGCTGAACCATGAAATGAACCACGAACTGATACACTGATACAGTTCATATTGGTTGGTGAGCCATTTAGAGTTTAAACCTTTGCTTTCTGCTCCTCGTGACTTTTCATGGAAAGCAGAAAGCGCAGGTTTCCAAACAGCTGAGTGGTATTGACTGTGACGAAGCTGTTTGGTTTAAACGGCTCCAAGCCATTTAAGCCCTGCTTTCTGTTCCCTCAAAAAGCCGAGGAGAATAAAAAAAGCAGGGTTTTCCAAGCAGCTGCCTCTCAGTTGTTTGGTTTAAAGGCTTTGAGCGGTTCTTCATTAAGAGCAGAAAGCAGGGTTAAACTCCTTCTTTCTGATCTTCACAAACTGCCACGAACTGCATCAAAATTCTTCAGTTCATGAACATCACTTTGCAAACCATGAACCAGCAAAAATCCATGATGAACTTTAGTTTGTCACTCAGTTCATGCCCATCCCTAGTCCTGAATCATTGCATAGCTGCTGTAATCAATTGGCTATGAGTTAACAAATTGAAATTAAATCCTGAAAATACAGAGGTAATGCTCCCTGGGAAGGTGGAGATCTTGAAGGATATTGTGCTCTCCACTTTTGATGGGATTCAGCTGACCCTCACTCACTCACCTATGATCTTTGGGGTTGTACTGGATCCAACATTACTGCTGGAGAACAAGTTAATGTAGCTGCAAAAAAAAATTTATTCCAGCTCAGCCTAGCCCAGACTATGGCCCCTTACCTTGATATGTCTGATTTGGCCATGTGGATCCAAGCCACAGTAACATCAAGACTAGACTATTGGAATGCACTGTACATTTGTCTCCCTTCAAAATCAGCTCTGAGACTGCAGCTGGTGCAGAATGCCTCAGCTCAGATATTATGGAGCTAGACAGAGCATGCATATTATTCTCATTCTGCAGTCACTCTATTGGCTGCCCATCAGTTACAGGGCTCAATTTAAGGTATTGACTATCACATACAAAGCCATCCATGGCCTTGGTCCCTCAGATCTGTGGGACCGCCTCTCCCTATGCTCCACCACAACAGCTTTGTTCATCTGTACAGGGCCTTCTATGGGTTTGGCTGGCGTGGTTAAAACTGATCAGCATCATATGGAGACCACTTCAGATAAATGGCTTATCCAGTAGATCCATAAAATTTGTTTTACTGTCAGTGAAGGGATTGTGAAAGGTTAAAAAAACAAAAACAAACAGATAACTCTGGCCTAGCAGCTTTAGTCCATGTTACACATTTCCCTCCAAGATTTAGGGCTAAGTCTTTCATTCCTTTTTTGTTTTGTCTGGCATTACCCAGTGCTCCCTCCTGTCTGCCCTATGTTTTGATTGTTGGTTTCATTATTTTGAATGTGTATATTAGCTTGGTTTTAATTTTTAATGTGTTTTTGTTTAACTTTAATGATTTTAAGACTTTTTATTATGAATGTTTTCATAATGTATGTTTAGCCACCTTGGTGGACTTGATGAGGTCAGAAAGGGAGGTATAAATTTTGTAAATAAATAAATATTCTCTCTGAAATGGCTCACAAATTGAATGTAGCAACTCCTACAGAAAAATGTGAAAGAGGTTTCTAAGTGTTTTCTTGATATGTTTTCCTTTTCTTTCCCTTGTGTTGTCCTCTCTTTTAATGGCACAATGCATGCCCCAGACTCTCTGTTTCCTCACAGATAACACAGGATTCAGGCTGCTAATGTTTTAACAAAATTATTTCCTACTATTTTTAAGGACAGTGAAATACCTGGAGACCAAAAATTGACTGAAACCTCAAGCACAAATTTTAACTGTATCCCTGGTGGCTTTGACAATGTAGAAGAAATCTTTATCCAGCAGAAAGCAAAAGAAAACATAGATGTTGGGAGAAAAATCCAAATGGTTCTTGAAAGTGTGAGTGGATTTGAGCAGTCCATATCCAACTAATGACTGTGGCAATTTGTTTTTGTTTTTAATTAGTGGTTACAGATTGTGACTTGAATTTATTCTCTGTCTCTGTTTTTCTCTGTGTATGTGTATTTCTCAGTATGAAAGTAAAAACAGAATTAGTAACAGTAAAAACAGAATTAGTAACAGAATAAATCTCTTTTTTTGCCCTACTTCATAGCCTGTGCACACATAATTTTTACTGTGAAAAACTGCTGCCTTACTGCTACTGGGGTGTTAATCTGGTTTACCATGGGCATCTTGGCATTTGTAAAAAAATGTAAGGGAAGGGGCAGGAAACCTGGTTCTGTGCAGGAGGTAAGCAATCCCATGAGCTCCGTTATTTGAATTACAGAATACCCTAGTTCCATTTAAATTAATTGAGTGAAAATGACTAGTTCAGATCACAGTCACTTTAGTTTGATCAAATTCCTAAGGAAAACTTTTTTAAAAGTAAGAAAATATTCTTGAATGGTTGATATTCCTGGGGAAAAGAGGTAGTTTGCCTTTTTATTTTCTTTTGAAAGAACTGCATAAGTGGATATGTAATGTAACACCCTTTTTGCATAGTGAAAACATTTTTCTTAAAATTGATCTGGATGCTAGCGGTGGTCGATAGTAAGTTAATCCTCATGTGCCCTATCCAGTATGTGTTCACAAAACTTGCATGCATGAGAATTAGATTTGTGTACTGTCACATTTTGCCTACCCTGGGTCCATGGGTGGAGAACTGGACTGATCCAGGGCTTGATTTTTTCCATGGAACCAGATGACACGGCTTCAGAACTTTGTGAGATGAAGGAGGTCAATATCACCTGGATCCCCTTCTCTCACTCCCGGACTCTGTCTCCAGAGATCCTTCTCATTGGAACCTGCTGGTCCATATAGAGTCGCAGGATCTTCCTCCCCAGCCATTCGATCTGCTTCCTTTTAAATCTCTTGCCTCCAGCCCAGCTTCCCCCTCCTGGCCCAGTCCACCTTCACTGGAGGGAGGCCAATGAGCTGGCCTGGCTCATAATCCCAACACCTGTTCCCAGCTCCTCCTCCTACCTGCTACCTTGGTGTCAGACGGGGTGGGTGGCTTATCCACACCTACCACCCTTCCCGGCCTCAATGCCTCGGGACTGCCAGTGTGATCACGGTACTTGATGACCTTTCCCATTTCCATATCACGGTACTTGATGACCTTTCCCATTTCTATCAAGAACCTAAAAAGGTAAGCAAAACTGAGTACAGGACCAACAATTAAAACTTAATGGATAAATAATGTTTTAAAATCATGTATTTATTTGTAAAGAATTAAAACTCATATAGGGGCCCAATCACACCTCATGTAAAAATTCCAAAATCATATGTACACAACGGTCAGTGGACTTGACCTGATGTGTTTCAGCCTGTTAGGGCCATCTTCAGAGGTCAAAAACAATGAGGAACAAATTGGCTTACACCATAATACATAATACAATACAATTATACAGCATGGATACAAAATGGACCAGAAAGGAATTGTTCCAGAGTGAAATTACTAGGCATAGAATGAAAGTATAAATGAGGCCTCTCAAGATCCAATCAAATGCCAAATGGTATTTCACTGATAATAATTTCTAGTCCAGAAGGTGCCTTTCAATAGCTGTTCAATCCAAGCCAAAGTGTCCTCAGCAAGATTGTCCCCTTAGCAAAGAGCAGCCACTCGATCCTTCTGTTGCCTTCTGCTCCTGCATCGCCCCCTTCCGCCAGCAACATCTGCCTCCTTCTCTCCCTGGCTTCATGCCAGTTGTGTGTCTCAGCTTGGCCCTTGATGCCTCCCCCTGCTTCGGGTCGAGAGTTGGGTTGTTTCTTTGGCCTCTGTGGCCTAGGGGAGTCCCCAGGGCAAGGCTGGGGGAGCTAAAACTGGGGCAACCCCCAGACATGTACATTAGTTTTTGTAGTGAGCCCACACACACACACACACACATCATGTTTTATTTAATGTGTGAAAGGAACCTCCACAGCTCTGGTTCAGGCTCAAAAAAGGAAGGTATAGTAATCCTGCTTTCATAATTTCTGGCTAAACTTGGAAGTTTTTCAGTCATCTTAGATATTGCCCCTAATTTTAGAAATATATTTACTCAAACAAAATGAACAACTCAAAATACAATTTATGGCAACTTCAAGTGAACGTCAGAATCCATTTATATGTTTGTGTTGGGGTTGTTGTTTTTTTGCCTTTTCTAAAGTACTTTGTTCTTCAAATGTCACAAAAACTTCTGGGCCTCTGTTCAAAGTTCCTTTAATGTTTGTAATAAGCAGCTGAGCAAAAGAGGTCTTTCTGCTTCTCAAATGTCATTTTTTTGGGATCTAAGAAAAGGATGATAACTACACTTCCCCAGGTCCCTTCGACCCAGAAGCAGAAGGGGGGAAGTTCAGCTTTAAAGAACTCAGTCACCCTAGCTGTGTTCTGACATAATTAAAGATGGAACATAGATAAGCCTTTAATTTCTTACCTCACATTAATAGGGCAGAGCAAATTTTTAAAGGTTGAGCAATATTTTTTTGCCCTGCCACTTTAATATCCCATGGTGCTGTTCCTCTCTACTTCACAGGGCTCCATATCAGACCAACTGGAAAAAACACAGTTTCAGATTAAGCAGCTTTTGGGAAGGAAAAAGCATATTGTGGACACAGTACAAGACCTTCAAGGCAAGATGGGTGGGTGGGGTAATAGTAAAGCTTGCTGAAAAACAGCAATAATATTTTGAAATATATATTGCATTGAAAAATAGCAGATTCTGTAAAAACCTGGAACACAGTTCCAAAAAACCATGGCCACCTTCTCACTTTTTGCTAGTGGTGTGGGAAACCCTACAGGGGGTGCCAACTGGGTAATGTGTGAGGCTCCAAATCATACGAAAGAAACTCACTCTGCAGCTCCTCCCCATGTTGTTATCTCTCCAAAACTCGGTCAGTGATATTGTGGGAGAACTGCCATTTGTGTGGCCCGGACCGTCTTTCGTTACCCTGACAGGGTAGGAAGGAGCTCTGCTGCAGTAGGTTCCATCTCCCCCATGTACTTTGAGGAGGAGATCTGAGTTGCAGCTGCTAGCTTCCTGCATATTATCAGGAATGTGGTGGTAAACTGAGCTGATAAATTATCAGCTTCAACTGTCTACATGTTACAAAGTCATCTGGTCATGTCTGGGTCCACCTCAAGGATTTTCAATCAGATGTGTGTGATATCATCGCCCTTGAACTCAATGGTGCACTGGGATCTAATTTTCCCCAAAGGGCCACATAGCAACCCCAGGGCCATAGCACAGAGAAGAAGGTATAAGGTCCTTCTCCCTGCAGCCCTGATCCAAACTAGGGCCCCATACACCAGGGAATTGAGTTCCCAACAGAGAAATCTCAATGCATGTCTGATTGGAAGCATTTGTGGTGGACCTGAAAACAACCAAGGACTTTCTGGCATCTAATTAGGCTGTAGGCTGCAGGTGTAGCATCTGGAGAGAATGCACCCGCAGATGAAAGTATGAAGTAAACTAGCACATCAGGGAGAAGAGTGTGCTACAATGTATCTCTTGTGTTAGTTTATGATATGCAGGGAGCTTTTTTAACATTGAAAAATACCACTTTTCTCTTACCTGCAGTCTGACATGGTAGACTTTGGGATTCTACTTATGGTTGTCAGTTCATTCAGCATCATTTATTTATTTACCAGATTGGCATACAAACTTTCAGCACTGAAAGCAGTTTACAGTTTAAAACAAGGGCTTACATTTTTAATAACTGCAAAAGGCGGCAGGGATCGGGAAGGGAATAAAGAAGTAAGAGAATTAGATAAACTTGCATCATGTAACATGATAAAATAATATAAATGGACAGCAGGAGACAGCTCTGGGAGGAAAGGATCCAAATGACAATCCCAGTCAAGCTTTGAGGCCATGTTGGTGGCTCACACCTGCCTCTTAAGCACCCAGGTGCAATGGCTAATGAAAAAATGTGTACGATAGATAATGTATAGGAGCAAATGGAAGAGCCTTAATTGAAGCTAACTTAAGTCCCATTGATTTCAAACAGATATGAGCTTGGATCCAGTGCAACGTTTCCATGGGCAGAAGGAGTTCTACCTGTAGAGCATGATTGGGGTGATAGTGCTCAATTAAAGGATTAACCCTCTCCTCAATGGAGAGCACAACTTTCTTGCTTTCCCCTTCCTACTGCAGTTCAAAATGGCCCTCCCCCACCTGCTTTAGCTTGGGACCACCATGGTGTGGGGTTCTCTTCATTTTCCCAAACCAGTCTCCCTGTGGTGCTGTTGAAAGGGTTCTGGTGCTGTAGCATTGTTGAGAGTTTCCACTGGGAACTCCCTGCTGTAAAGTGGCTATGAGTCTCTGTGGTGGACTTGGGGACACCATCACATCCAGTTTGGCCCTTGGTTACATCTACTTTAGATGTACGCTTAGTCAGAAATGTGAACAAAACAGCTATTGAAACTTCTCAATGCTCAGATCGGAGAATGCAGTTCCTGGCTACAGTGAATGATCAGCAGTCCCATGCAACTAAGCAGAAGGTGCAAAAGAAAAGGAAAAAGATGAATAACACACGGTTCCTTCAAGACTTGGAGGGGAAAGGAGATAACCCCTGTGGACTTCCATCCTGTAAGCTGCCCATAGCTTCAGATGTCCCACTGAAACAGGTAGAAGAAGCTACTAACAGCACTTGATTAAGGATTGACAAAAAGTGAGCATGTGGAAAATAATGATGTTTACACTAGAGAGTAGACCTGCCCTGTATTTACATTGCCAGGTACCCTTTACAGTCAACTGACTTTATTAAATTTATATAATAGGGAGTGATAGTTGCCTTCAAAGCTTCACTTTGAATAAATCTACTTGCTGTTGCTCATGACAAAACATATTAATTTTAACATACTAAGTCATACAAGGTTCAAAGCCACTAACTCCCCAAGTGGGCATTTGGAATGACACAAAGGCCAGCTCTGCCTAGTGATGCATCAAATCTGGCATTTTGCCTTCAAACTGATGGCCAGCCATTAAGTGTATATATAGGAAAAAGTGAAAACAGCCTCATCCACATAAACTATAGTGAGATGTTGGCATACAAGAAACATCTCTTCCCATTTCCTGCAGTGACAGATTTGTGTTCAAAAGGCTTGCATGCATTTTAGATGCTAATTGTCTTCAGTCATTTGTTTCGTAAAGTGGAGTAGCACAGTCTGCACAAAAAGATGTGTAATAGGACAGCTGATATTTCTCGGCAGGAAAGTAGGCAGCTGGTATTATTTTACATAAGTTTAGTATTTGGCCAGTGGCTGTGGGTAATGTCCTGCCCCCACTCTCAGTGCTGTGCCCTCGATAATTTGAGGAGGAAAAGAAAAAATGAAGAGAATAACATAAATTGTGACTTTCTAGGAATTCCCCCCAATTCTATAGTAAAGACCATAGAGACTGGAGAAATTCACAGAACGTCATCTGGAAGTGACATCATGTTCCCCTGGAACTCCACCCTCCACAGACACTGACACCCAAATCACCTGTTATTTGCCAATACGGGTGTGCATTTGGATACACCTGAGCTGAAAATATACCCCAAAAATACCTTATCAGTATTTTTCAGGTATATTTGGCATCCCAAAGGATATCTAGTGGGTTTTTGGTTTGTTTGTTTTTGAGAACTGGGGGGGGGGGAATTCCCCCCAAAATCACAGATATATTTGGGATTTTCTGGGAATACCAGAAGTCATCATTTGCAGGGTTCTGGGGACTATTTTTGCTTATTTTTTAATTTCTGTGTCTCTAAGGTTTTTTAAAATTATTTATTTATAGCTTTAAATTAATATACATACAATCCATTAATAATAAATCATAATAATATTGAAAGTCTATCATTTCAATGCTTTTTTGTAACCACTTGTACACTCTTGATCAAAGTTTTAAATGCGTTTCTTCATCTTTTCCTTGAAGTAATATGCTTAATCTGTCCATTTCTGCCATATCCAATAGTCTCTGAGTAAGCTCTTCCTGTGATGGGATTCTATCCAATTTCTAATACTTTGTTCTGGCTGTTGTCAATATATATCTTGTTATACAATGCTCAGATTTGTTATATCCATCTGGTAACATATTCAATTAAAAAAACCCTCAGGTTCTAAAGGCAAATTAATCTATATATCTAATTCTGAAGTCGCCCCCTGGTGTGCGGATATCTAATTATGGTATAACCCATGAATTGTTAATATTGAAAAATACAATAAAGCGGAAGAAAAACACCAAAACATTCATAGTGCCAAAATATGCTTCTAAACAGCATTCTGGAAGAGTTCAAAGAATGTGTAAAGAACAGATATGCATTGCCAATTTCAAGTGAATGGAAACTGGAAGAACTATAGGTTGAAACCAGTGATATTAACAAGGAAGAATTAACAAAGGCTCTTCCTGTAGCCAAAAGAAATGAAAAGCCTCGATGAATGACTGATAAAACTTTTAAAATTGCTAAAGATCAGTGGTATACCTAGCCTATTTGACACCTGGGACGGATAATTTTTTAACACCCCCCTCCTCTGTTTTGTTTTTGTTTTTTTGCTATCAAGTCACAACTGACTTATGGTGACCCCATAGGGTTTTCAAGGCAAGAGATGTTTGGGGGTGATTTGCCTCCCCATCATTCCTTCCTGCTTAGCTTCTGAGATCTGACAAGATCAGGCTAGGTCAGGGCCCCTCTTCCATTATGACAAATTTATTTTCAGTAATAATCAGGATATTAAACAACTAATAATAATAATAATGTCCAAAAAAGAAATGCAGAGAGTGGAAATTTTCTTCTATTTAACTTCATATATATAATCATGCCAGTAAAAAAAAAAAATCAAATTCCAACACGCTATTCCAAAATGAAAGCCAGCATGGTGTAGTGGTTAAAGTGTCAGACTAGGATCTGGGAAATCCAAGTTCGAATCCCCACTTGTGCCGTGGAAGCTTGCTGGGTAACCTGGGCCAGTCACCTTACTCTCAGCCACCTACCCCTGACTTGGATAGCCCCAGGGTAGCCTAATCTTGTCAGATCTCAGAAGCTAAACCAACATGGAGGCAGGCAGTGGCAATCCACCTCTGAATGTCTCTTGCCTTGAAAACCCTACAGAGTTGCCATAAGTCAGCTGTGACTTTACGGCAAATCCATACAGCACTCATGTTCTGAGCAGGCACTTGGGAGGGCTTCTCCATTTTGAAGCCCAAGAGCTGACCATCTCAAACATCTATAAGGCATTTTTGAGAGCGATGAGCCTTCCTTTGTACTAACTTTTACTAACTAACACTAACCAAAGCATCATAAAATAGTGATTGCAAGCTTCACCGGACTAGATGTTAAGAAACACATTACCCTCCAAAGAAGGTGCCCCTATCCTCCTCATTCCAAAGGATGAAAGTCAAACCAGAGAATCTCTGCAGTAGAAACTGAAGGTGGGGCCATTTTGCAAACCCAGCATAACCAGTGCAATGTACAGAATACCCAGCAGTACCAGTACAATCACAGCATGTCCAGCAGAGCCCACTGCCATTCTGGCAATGTCAGCAAAACAGGACTGATGTCAAGCACAGAATCACAGTCCAAGCAACAGGGGATTGGAAGCCCAGCCAGTGCAATGTACAGTGCCTAGCAAACCCAGTGCCTTCTGTTCATAATATTAACAAAGGTTTGCTACTATACTACTCTATTCCATCTCCAAGTAGGATAGGGGTGAGAAGGTCTTGAGACCAAGGATTGAAAATGAGGGGGACATGGAAAAATTAGGCGAAGGGATACAGAAATAAATGAGAAAAGTGTGGAAAAGAGGGAGAGTGATTAAGAGAGGAAAAGGTTGTTTTATCTTGCTGCAACACCCTTTTTGTTTGCAAGATCTAGCTGAGCTGGGTGCAAGGAAAGGAAAAGAAAAATGCTAGTCTGTTGGAGAAAATGATCTGCAGGCTGGCACTTACTGCAGCAGCTATCAGCATACTGGCTCAGTTGTTGTTAATCAAGTTTGCATCAGTCTTAGAGCAAGGGAATCCTAGGGTGTTTTTTGCTATGCTCAGTCTTTCCTGCATCCCTAGTGGCTGCACCCAGAACTGCATTTAAAAAATAAAGGGAAGGATGTTTACCTGGATGCAGCATGATGCTGGCTTCGAGAGACCCTTTCAAAGGCCTTCCTCAATCTGTGCCTGGGGTGGACTGCACCCCCTGCCCCATCCTTGGTACACCACTGCTAAAGGTAGATGAAAACCTAAAGTAAAAGGTGACAAATAGAAACAGAAGATTCCTCATCAAAGGCTCCTAAGTAAGCTCAATAGTCACGGGATAAAAGGACAAGTGCTTTTGTGGATCAAAAACTGGCTAATTAATAGGAAACAGAGAGTGAGTATAAATGGGAAATTTTCTCAGTGGAGGGTGATAAGCAGTGGGGAACCACAGGGATCAGTACTCGGTCCGATGCTTTTTAACTTATTCATTCATTATTTGGAGTTGGGAGTAAGCAGTGAAGTGGCTAAATTTGCAGATGACACGAAGTTGTTCAGGGTGGTGAGAACCAGGAAGGATTGTGAGGCACTCTAAAGGGATCTGTCAAAGATGAGCAAGTGGGCATCAATGTGGCAACGAGGCAGAACGGCAGTGCTGTTGTTGGACCTGTCAGCAGCGTTCAATACAGTTGACCACCAGCTACTGTTCCACTGCCTTGCTGACATGGGGATTCAGGGGCTTGCCTTGCAATGGCTTGTCTCCTTTCTCCAAGGTCGGGGACAAAGGGTGGCTCTTGGGGATCAGACATCCCGAAGGCACCCACTAATCTTTGGAGTGCCCCAAGGGGTGGTGCTTTCCCCAATGCTATTCAACATCTATATGTGCCCCCTTGCCCAGATTACCTGGAGGCATGGTCTAGGGTGTCACCAATATGCTGATGACACCCAGCTATATCTGTTGTTGGGCAGTCAGTCTGACTCTACCCCAGAAGATCTGGACTGGGCGCTACAGGACGTGCCTGGTTGGCTTAGACTGAGCCGATTGAAATTGAATCCAATGAAGACGAAGGTCCTGTGCCTGAGTCGGAGTGGACCGGGGGTAGGGATCCCACTACCGGCCTTTGACAGGGCACCACTGGTGCCAGTGCCAAGGGTCAGGAGCTTGGGAGTGCTCCTGGATGCCGCCTTAACAATGGAGGCCCAGGTACCAGCCACTGCCAATACAGCCTTTTACCATCTATGGCTGGTTAGGCAGCTGGTTCCCTTCCTCGAACGCAATGACCTGGCAACAGTGATCCATGCTATGGTCACCTCAAGACTAGACTACTGCAATGCTCTCTACTTGGGGCTGCCCTTGTCACAACTCCGGAAGCTGCAGCTGGTGCAGAATGCAGCAGCCAGGCTGCTGATGGGTCTCTCGATGCGGGAGCACATCCAGTCTGTGCTGAAGGCATTGCACTGGCTGCCAATAGCATACCAGATTCGCTTCAAGGTGCTGGTTTTGACCTTTAAAACCCTATATGGTCGGGGGCTTGCCTACCTGAGGGACTGCCTTTCCCCACATATTCCCCAGAGAGCACTGAGGTCAGGGTCTCAAAACCATCTGACTTTCCCTGGTCCAAAAGGTACCAGACTGGCCTCTACCAGGGCTAGGGCCTTCTCAGTGGTGGCTCCACACTGGTGGAATGAGCTCCCGGAAGACATCGGGGCC